TAGTAATATACTTATAGTAATTATCATTTTAATAAATATGAAATTTATGAACAGATACCCTGCTAACCAGGTATGGTTTATAAACCGCCAAATAGCAATCAATCAACATACTATACATGGAAAATTTGCGACAAAAAGGAAATGGAGAAGTTAATTGAAACATGAAACTGTAGTTTCGACACATTAAAGGACACATAATGATAGTCAGGCATTTCCTTTGATTTGTATTAAATTTCAAAATGTTTCCCACTTAAAATAAAAAGGTCCAAAACAAAAGCAAATATTTGTCTAGAATTTGAGAACTTGGCACAGAGCTTTAAAAACTCCCGCTATTCAACTCAAAAGCCCAAGGTCAGTGCATGACTTGGCAAACAATACTTGATATTCATATTACGTCCGTATACAGACTATATCTATTTAGCGAATTCTAGCTAACATCACACTTCGAATCGAACTTCGAAAATTAAAAGTAATCAACATGTCTGGACGTGGTAAAGGAGGAAAAGGGCTTGGTAAAGGAGGCGCTAAGCGTCATCGTAAGGTGTTGCGTGATAACATTCAGGGTATCACAAAACCAGCTATCCGTCGTCTTGCTCGTCGTGGTGGTGTTAAGCGTATATCTGGTCTCATCTACGAAGAGACCCGTGGTGTATTGAAAGTATTTCTTGAGAATGTCATCCGTGATGCTGTCACATACACCGAGCATGCTAAGAGAAAGACCGTCACCGCCATGGATGTCGTCTACGCTTTGAAAAGACAAGGCCGAACCCTGTACGGATTCGGTGGATAAGCAGTTCTTCTATATCAAACCAAACGGCTCTTTTCAGAGCCACCATTTGAACAAAAGAGTATGATTTTTTGCCTAGTTGTATTTTAGTGTTTTTTTTCCAGTCACATCCAATATGATTATTGTATATTACTATATATAATTATTAACAATAATTATACAACGGTATATGATTGTAATTTAAAAAAAACCACGTGCTTTGGGATAATATATAATTGAATTATTAATTTAAAAAATATATTGAGAGATTACTGTTTTGTCATTGCCTACAGTTTATAGGCGTTACTTTTATTAATCTCAATTTCAATAATACACATTATTTCGGGATAACATATGAATACTTCAACAAGTAAAGGGAATTCAATATATTATCTTGAGGGGGATTAAAATTAAATTTTGTAACTAAATCTGTAACTGTAAAACTAAGCTACTGTTGTCTCTCCAACATGCAAATGTGTTCATTTTATTACACATATTTGTAAAACAAATTCAATAATACACATAAGTTGCAGATATTTTGCAAAATCTTTTTTTTTTTTTAAATATCTAATAAACTAATGACTTGTTCTTACGTTGCCATCAGGGAGCACTTTTAATATAGTATTACTGTAGTTTTCTGTAATTTAATATATTGCCTTTAGGGTTTTTATACAACCTTTAAAGTGTTTGTAAGTATTAAATTGAACTCATTTTTTTGTAAATCAAATTCGTTCATACTCATAATTTCGTGATAACTGATTTTGAATACATTTTTTTTTTATAAGAACCAGTAAAATTTTACCCGGGCTCAGTGTTCTTATTTTTTGCCTGATTTCAGGCTCAAAATGTTCTTATTTTGTTCTTATTTTACAAACTTTTCAAAAAAAGAAATTTATATTGAACAGTAGTATACCACTGTAGATAAAAATGGCCC